CAATTAAAAACAAAATACAAACACTGGACAAACAATATTAGATGTAAATTGTTTGTTAAATCATTATCAAAATAAAAAGGCCAATAATATTCTCCACTATTGTCTGATCTCAAACACTTCACCTTCAGATCTGCCTCATTCTCCACCATGGCTTTTCACTTCTTGAAGATGCTAAACATCTCTGACTTGTGCTTCATGAAGTATACCTACACCTTTCTCGAATGATCGTCGATACGGTTGACGTAGTACACCGAACTACCAAGAAAAGATACACTAGCTGGATCCCATACATCTGTATGAACAAGCTCTAGTTTGTGAGCTTTAGGTGGTCTTCTACCCTTCAGAAAACTAACCTACTTCTGCTTCCCGAAGATACAGTCTTCACATACACTGACTTCCACCGAATCGATGCCGGTTAGCTTCCCTTCTGAGTGAAGAATCTTCATACCCTTCTCACTCATATGTTCGAGCCTATTGTGCCACAGATCTGCACTCTTCTTGCCTGCAGCAATCGCGAGGGTGTCACTCGCGTGTGAAGTTAGGTAGAGGGTATCGGTCTTGTTGCCTCGGGCAATGACCATTGTACCATTAGAGATTTTTCACGAACCTCCGGTGAATGTTATAACAAAGCCTTCTGCTCCAAGCTGACCTGCCGAAATAAGATTCCTCTTTAGCTTCGGTACGTGTCTGACATTCTTCAGAGACCACTTGGAGCCCTTTAACTGTATTTGCACGTCACTTCTTCTAATGACACTACAGGGTTCATTATCCCCAAGTATACTTTCCCAAAGTCCCCTGCTATATAATTCTGAAATAGCCTTCTATTAGCAGAGGCGTGGAAAGAGGCTCCCGAATCAATAACCCACGAATCGGAATCGCTATCCATAGCGAGAATCAGCGTATCTTGCACAATATGAGCCTCCTGCTCATTTTTCTTTGGTACTTTACAAGTAGAAGACATGTGGTCTTCCTGACCACAGTTCCAACATTTCCCCTTGATAGGTCTCACCTTTGAGTTTGACCTCTTCTTCTTCGACTTCGATCGATTCCTATTTTGGTTCCCTCTATTATGGCTTCTGCCTCTCTGCTCGAGACTTAGGGCTGAACCCAAACCTTCTGATTCAATCGATTTTCTTTAACCTCCTCGGATAGAATCATAGCTACCACCTCCTTTAGCTTCAACTTCTCCTTTCCTACCGAGTTGCTAATTGCAGTCACACAACCTGCCCAATTATCCGGTAACTACGATAGTATCAATAGGGCCTGCACTTCGTCATCAAACGTGATATCGAATAAGACGAGTTGATCAACAATCGTGTTAAAATCGCTGAGATGCATTTTGATGGAACATCCTTCTGCCATCTTGATGTTGAATAGCGTCTTAACGAGATGCACCTTATTTGTAGCTGATAGTTGCTCGTACATCGTTGCGAGCGCTTCCATAAGCCCAACCGTCATCTTTTCCTTTAATATATTGTGTGCTATAGATTTTGTGAGGGCTAATCAGACCTGCCCTAAGGCTTTTCGATCCAATATTTCCCAGACTTCATCGGATCCTTCTTTCTTCTATCCTTTTGCTTTACCCATCAACGGACGGTAAAGATCCTTCTGGTACAGATAGTCCTCCATCAGTGACTTTCAGTAAGTAAAGTCTGATCCGTCAAACTTCTTAATTTTTGATTTCACCTTCTTCTGCCATTTCTTACACACATAGATCTAAACAATGGCTCTTATACCAGTTGTTAGGAAATCAGATGCGCTCTGATACCCGTTGTTGGGTATTCAAACTATCAAACGTTGGTACAACTGCTCCTTAGCTATTCGACCCCCTGTCCAATATGAACCCTCTGCGGAATTTGTCCTACCGAATCTTGTGTTAAGCAATGGAAAGAAGAAATCACAACAAATTAAAAATAATTGCAAGAACAGAGAACACCATGTTTTAACGAGGTTCGGTAACTTGCCTACGTCCTCGAGAGCCACAAATAATTTCCCTGATATTTAAAGAAGATTACAAAGCTTGTATAAGAGCAGATCTCAAAACTTGAGATCTCTCAAGAGAAAGAAACAACAAAAAACTATTGTTGTTCAAATAAGACACTAGATTTTCAACTTGAAAATCTCCACTCCTCTCTCTCTCTCTCTCTCTCTCTCTCTCTCTCCTCAATAAAACGCTACAGGAACTCAGGAGAATTTTTCTCTAAAAAAAATTCTCTGCTGAAGAAGCTCTCCTTTAATGGCCACTGCCAAAATAAATGCTCCGAGAAGAAAGAGAGCGGGGGCATCGTTCTCTCATGCACAGGGTTCCCTTAAATAGGGAAACCCTAGACAAACAGTTGGATCCAGCTGTTCCTAACCAACACCGGCGAAAGAGGGGAACTACAAACTCGTCCTTCACCCGCGACTTCGCCTACACTTTGTCGACCTCACCTGCACTCGACGATTTTGCCTAAAGCCCTCGAACTCGCCTGCAAGGAGATCCAGACCTCGCCTGCAAGCTTTGAGTTCGCTTGCCCAAGTTTTCCCTACTTCGCTCCGCTCAAGGTCGCCTGTTCGATATCCGACCTCGTCTAAAGCCCATCGATCTCACCAACAGAGCATCACACTCGCCTGTTTGACTCGTCTGAAGCTCATCGCCGCTGAAGTCATGCTCGCTTGAGCCGACGTGGTTTGGGTCTACACCCAATTTCAACAGTTAATACATTGGACAAGAATTCGGTTTTATGAGTTATTAGACAAGAATTTTGCTTCTTGTGTTTTAATATCGAAACTGTAATGCATAAGTTTGTTTTTGCTTCTTTATCTAATATATATCAATCGATGTTTTCTGCTTCTTTAAGATCTGTAATTATTAGACCAATTGGAAAGGAGTGTGCTGATTTGTGGCCTAGGATTGCTAGTGCAGCCAATGTCATTGTGTAATATCCAAATTTTTCTTCAAGTGTCAGTGAGGAGGTGTTAGTGAGGAGTAGTAGTTTCATGTTATTTGTTATTGAAAAGAAAATGGAGTTTTTTTAAATATGGATCCATATTTGTATTGGATGTTTTTGTTTTCCCGTGTCGTAAATAAATTGGAAGTGATATTCTGGGATCCAGCTGTTGGTAGCATTGTTTTCCTTTTGTTATAAAATTAAATGGTGATGGTTTGAAGATAATAATTGTTCATATATTGGATATCGTTGCTGAAAAGTTATTAATAAATAAGCTCCTGGAAATTTTGAAGATATTTTGTCAAACTTCTCAGGGAGCTTAGGGGGTTAGTCACCTAGAACTTTTTAAGTAGAACTAGGATAATTGGTAAAGTAGAATAATATTTTGACATTGGGATAATTTAGTGGAACAATGATTGGTAATTCTTAAAGTGGGATAATTTGGTAGGATAATTTGGTGGGATAATGATGGATAATATTATGAAGTTGCATAATTTGGTAGGATAATTTGGTGGGGGTAATAGTGGGTATAAATTACTATTGTTAATAATTGTATATTAAAAATAATATAATATTGATAAGCAAATTCTAGTAATAACTATAAAATATAATGCAATAAAGCATCACTATTCATCTCAAATAATAAAATAATTTATAAATAAATAAAAATCTAAATTATTCATCTCAAATAATAAAATAATTTATAAATAAATAAAAATCTAAATCCCTAGAGTGACTTGACTTCTATCATCCCACATGGCTTCTATCATCCCACATAGCATCTGCCATAGAATTTCTCCAAGCTCCTACAGCTGCTCGTTAAGTCTGTAACTCGTCTTCTTTGTTGGAGTCGTCGTCTACATCAGCAACATTTCGTGGAGCTTCTAGTGGAGGATCATAAATGTCGAAGTTCAAATCTCATAACATCATAAAGAAAGAAAAATAAGCATTTTCAGCCATTAACCCTTTGGACCAATCTCATCATGGTCGCTGAAACCAAATCAGCAAATAAACGAAATGTACACAGGAATCATCCATGGCCGCTAAACATATGATCGACAGATAAACTATAAATATCCAATCAATTTACTAAGCCGATTTAATAATAATAGATATCACCGTTAACTATTCAGCATCTAATCATCAATGTGATCGCAAAGTTGCTTTCTAACTTATAAAAAAACATAAAAGTAATACATCTTGAAGATAATAATAAAAGCTATCAATAAAAGTAATACATCTTGAAGATAATAATAAAAGATCTAGTCATCACAAAAACAAAGTAAAGACAGAAAAATGAACGGATGATTGACTTCATGGCAGAAAAATTTTCTAGGCAGAGAAACTAACCAAGAGGGAGGGAGGTGGCGTTTCACTTTTTTCCCAATTGTATTCTTTCCAATGTGTGGGATAATTTGAGAGAGGAGAACTTATGGTTATATATATAGGTAGTATAATTTGTGGGATAATTATGACCAATTATTCCAATTCTAATTCTAGTAGAATTCTACTTGACTAACGCACCAAAAAAATAATACATCTCTATTTCTACAAAAGTTCTACTTGACTAACACTATAAAAAAATATCTCATTTCCTAGTTCTATATGACTAACACCTTAAAAATTTATCCCACAAATTATCCTAGTTCCAGTTTTAAGTTCTAGATGACTAACCCCTTAGGGGGGTTAGTCACATTGAACTTTTTAAGTAGAACTGGGATAATTGCTAAAGTGGGATAATTTTTTGACACTAGGATAATTTAGTGGAATAATGATGGATAATTCTTGAAGTGGGATAATTTGATAGGATAATTTAGTGGGATAATGGTGGATAATTTTAAATGATGGATAATTCTTGAAGTGGGATAATTTGATAGGATAATTTAGTGGGATAATGGTGGATAATTTTATGAAGTGTGATAATTTGGGTGGGATAATTTGATAGGATAATTTAGTGGGATAATGGTGGATAATTTTATGAAGTGTGATAATTTGGTGGAGTAATGGTGGGTATAAATTATTATTGTTAATAATTGTATATTAAAATAAATATAAGATTGATTAGCAATTGATTAGTCTAGTAATAACTATAAAATATAATGTAATAAAACATCACTATTCATCTAAAATAATAAAATATTTTACAACTAAATAAAAATCTAAATCCCTAGAGTGACTCGACTTCCATCATCCCACATGGCCTCTGCCATAGAATTTCTCCAAGCTCCTGCAGCTGCTCGTTGAGTCTGTTGAGTCTGTAACTCATCTTCTTCATCAGAGTCATCATCCGCATCAGCAATATTTCGTGGAGCTTCTAGTGAAAGATCATAAATATCGAAGTCATCATTTGTATTCTCCAATCTTAAAAAGTTATGCAATCCGACGCATGCAACGAACATCTTTATTTGTGTGGCATATGGAAAACCTGGAGGTTGGCTCTTGAAAATAGTGAATCTAGACTTAAAAACTCCAAAGATGCGCTCGACACAATTTCTAAGTGACGCATGCCGATGGTTGAAAACTTCTTTTGAATTTCGTGGTCGTTGTCGATTATTAGCATGACCGAACTCTGAAAGATGGTACCTTTGACCTCGGTATGGAGCAAGAAATTGTAGCCTATTTGGATAGCCGCAGTCAACTAGATAAAATTTATCTGCAAACAAGAATAAAAATAAGAATGAGAAAAAATATTATAAAACTAAAAAATATTCTTTAATTGATAGAAAAAATATTATAAAAAAGATTATTACTCTGTGGAAGTGGAAGTCCATAAGGTCTACTCATTGCATCCTTCAAGACTCTTGCATCATTAGCAGAACCCTCCCACCCAGCTAAGACATAAATGAATTTGAGATCAAATGTGCAAGCTGCCAAGACGTTCTGAGAGAGAAAACCATGTCTATTTCGATAGGGCGTCTGATCTATGTTATACACCATGCACGGTATATGAGTCCCATCTATTGCACCGATACAGTCCTGAATAATCAATGTGTCAGACCATCTCAAGTGATATGTGTGTGGTCGCGCACGCATGTGTGCACGTGTGTGTGTCTGCGTGTGTGTAAAATCTAAAGCAATAATAATTACCTTGAAATAAGGCCAAAAGCGAGATTCTGATTTAACCTTATCAGGTGGATCAGTAGGGGGTGATGCCATCAAGCATGATGCTAAAGATACCAATGCATGTAATGCTTTATTGAAACATACACTAATGGTCCATTTTGAACGATCAAATCGATCAGTTGCAACAGAGTATCGTTGATTCTGACTAACCGTGAGAAGAAAAATAGCAATCATCTCCTCAACACTAATGTGGTATGTGTCTTGTATATGGCCCCGCTCTCTCAAGATATTGCATAACTTCATGAAGCAATCTGGGTACGTTCGGTAAATTCTACGAAAATCTTGAGGATGATTATCCATCTTGGACTGTAAGTATGTGAGACCAAGATCTGTAATACCACGTCGAGGACTTCGAAAATTAAGCGTATTTGCTATGAACTCCTGTGATAGACACCCTGATACCTTTATGATCAGATTTGCAGCCTCAGCAGCTAATTCGATTATGCGAATCAAAAGATTATCATCGAAGTCTTCATGATGAAAATATAAAATGGGCAAATTTTGATCTTCCTCCATCCTATTAAATAATATAACCAATGAAATATAATCAATTTACATGAAACTTATG